TTGAAGTTGTTCTTTCTCAACTTCTTGCCCAACACCACTACTACTACGTGTTTCCAAAAGAGCATCAAACTCTGCTTTATTCTTTTTTTAGTCAAAGTACTGCCCGTTTTAATTCGAGAAAACTAAAGCGCGTTTTGATTTAAGGCCTTGAGCTTTTAAGAGATTAACAAAACGTTGCGAGTCATTTTACGCGGCGCTCAATTGCATTACACGGAGCGAAATACGCTGGGCAAGTTTCGATTACAAGTAGCACGGCGTGAGTGGCGGTGGAAGGGGCCGGAGGACGGAGGGAGAGGGGGAGGGTGAGAGGCGCTGTAATTTTTGCACGGAGGTTATATTTTCGGTTATCCAATAAAGTTGCGCGTTACTTGTTGTTGGTTTTGGTATACTATCTTGTATCGCAGGTAGTTTCGAGTTTCTCGTGAACAGGAAACCGTATCATTTAGCGTCACCGTACCACCAGCGAAAATGCATTAACTGGCAGTAGCTGCCAACATTGCGGCAAAGTGAAACCCCCTCGTCACGGTGTAGTCGCTGTGTTAAAGCGAGCCACGTTAAAATAGAGCAACAATCGTCTGCACCGAATACGGATATAATCCCGCTGACATTCCTCTTCATTTTGTCCTTGCAGCCCTTAGCTCCTTATTCCTTGCTCGAAAACGAAAACGATTTCCCTGCTTATTAAGCGAAACGACGCCCTTTTCAGCTCTCTTCCTCGTGGGATGTAGCTTCGTGTTTGTTACACGAAGAAAAGTAACCGGAACGTAAGCGGACGTTCTAAGGTGCAATTGTTGCCTGCATCGGTAAAGTACGTCGCGTAACTCTACTTTATCCAAAGAGTTGAAAGCGCATGTAAATTCGCGTATCAAGCACGGGCCCTCTATCCGTGCCCTAAAGTATATACGGATATATTCTACCGTCGCATACATATTCATACGCGGCTCGAATTCCGTTGGTATGTTACGTTAAACTCGGTTTCGTTAAGAAATGACGATAAACAGCCCGTGAAAAAGGAAAAGA